TCTGTTTTCCCATTCATAATTGCTTCTGCTACATGCTTTCCCCTGCACATATACATTTACTCTTTTACACATGCATCTTGAACTCCGTGTGTGCGTGTGCGCACGTGTGTGTTGAAGCTGTGTAGAAGCTTACTTTGAATACAAAAATGGCTTTTTGCAAATGGGTGAAGAGTCATGTCCTCCCCCCTCCCCTCGTCTTCACTCAAATACAACAGCCCCTCAAACCATTGTGCCTTGTTATGTGCATTTTTGTGTAGTACATTTTGCCCCTTATGACAGAACCAGGTAATCATGAACAATGGGTGGTATTTGTGTAAAAGCTATTTTATATAGTCCCAGCAATCAAATGGGGAGATGGCCATTCATTGATGCTGACCTCATGGGAAGCCTAGTGTTGTTACCACCTCCCCATCTTCTTGCATTCCTTGGAAGCGACTGTGTGCCAGTAGTGCTATGTTTACTGTACAGTTGGACGCTATATATAAGACACTTTCTTGCTGTGTAGTTAACACGGTCCCATGCAGTTCTTCATATATATATTTTAATTTATATCCCTCTTTTCTCTCTGATCAGGGACCCAAAGTGGCTTTTTACATCGTGACCCCCTCCTCCACAGTCCTCAAAGCAGCCTCCTTGTGAAGGGTAGGTTAGGCTGAGTGATTGTGATGGGCCCATGCTCACCTGACAGGCTTCCATGTTTCAGCAAGGAATTCAAACCCGGTTGTCCCAGATCCTAGTCCTGTTTTCTAACCACTATGCCAGACCAGCCTACCAGGGCCATTACTGAGTAATATATCCTTGTGCACTAGTGGCAGTAGATGTGTGCAAGGCAAGGAAATAGCCCTAAGTCATGTGGAATCTGTCCTTATTAACACCTGCAAGGAAAGGCAGTGGAGATGTGGAGAAACTCAGTGTGATTTGAAGGAATTGTGTGCTTAGTGCATGGGGGGAGGTACTATCAAGGAGAAGTTTTCCCTAGTTACTTGCCTGCAGCAGAGTGATGTATAAACTAGCCTTTGGAGTGAGATGTGTTATTGTGGCATACTAGATCCCAAGGAGCAATTGCCACTGTAAACATAACTGGTTAAAAATATTTCTACCTAAGTGAATAATTCTTAGTTTTCCTAGGCCATCAGAGGGCAGTATGAATTTGTCTTTTGTTTCAAACTTTGATTGCAGATGGTCTATCTAAACACATTTCGGATAAAGTGCTCTTCTGTTACTTATTGCATATTGTTTCATAATCGCATCTTAAAGCAATTAGAAATAGATTACTGCAAATTGTAGTCACAGCGGGTTTTTTTAAAAAGTAGTTTTAAACAATAGACTAGACTATAATATCCTGGCTATTAAAAAACATTCTTATTTTAAGATTACTTGATTGATTGTAGGTCCATTCTTGGGTACCATGAAAATTAAAGTGTTGTGTAATTGAAACCTGCCCCACTGCAGTACAGTTTACTGGCTTTCTATGATGTGTCTCTAATCTGTGCTGTTCTGTTATAAAAATTATTGCCATTCTTCAACAGCCTGGCTGATCTGTGCTCCCCCCCCCCATCATACTCCTTTACTCCTCTGCCCTGTCTGTTTCTTTCTAAGTCTCAATACACAGGTATTGATCCACAGGATCAGTTTTCCCTGGATTGCTGAATGTCAGCCTCATGGAAATATAGATGAACTATGGAACATGAAAGAAATTTTCCCAAGTGTTTCTGGTGTCTACAAACACTGGGGAATAATTGTGGAAACACTCTGAAAAGTGAGAACTCCTCTTGAACTGCTCATTAGATCTCTTCAATCCAATTACATCCTGAAGAACGGTTGGGGGGCATATTTGATTACAAAACCACTCTTAACAGGGTTTTGTGATTTTTCATACTATGGTATGCAAGTAGTGATGGCTAAATTTGATAAGAAGTGAGCTGCTGTGGAGCCAAAGACATTAGTTACATCAGGTCTATCTATCCCCCCCCCCCCCCTTCCAGTGTGAGAGCCAGTGTAGCAGACTTGAATCTGGAGAACTGGGCTTGATTCCC